TATTCATGTAAAAGTTAATAATTTAATTCCTAAGAGACAAAATATGTTACATGTAATTTGGTTCAACGACAAAAGGACCCTAAACCGACAAAAGTCTCTTTTAAAGATAAAGAAAATGAAAAAGAAACTTAGCATCAATGAGTTTTCAAATTACATAACATTAAATTTGACATTTTTTTTATAATACCAAGTGGCGGGACCATCAAGTGGTGCGCCTGGTGGTAAGCGACACGCTTGTCCATAACAGTCGCAGTGCCACTCAGAATTTTGAATCGCAAAGATCAGAGGGGCACTGCCACTGCACCCGTCACTCTGAGACATAAGTTGACGAGTCCCATGTGCCTGTAATTTCACCGTGTGTCAACTATAACCCTTAAAGCTTTCAGCGTCCTAGGAGTTTTGTATAACAACATATTCAGGATGCCGTGCTTTTGTCTTACGCTTTAGAAATACTGGTCAGAGGTTACAGGATAGTGCCTCAGGAGGTATAAATAATATAACGTTACTACACTTATTTACATGGTACATTTAATACATACATAGAAGCTAACTTCGTAAAATACGCGATATACGATGACGTGAACCTGAATGAGAATAGAATGAATGTACGAGTGGGTATGTGCCAAGTAAACGTCACGGTGGATACACACAGATCTGGCGTCACAATACCATCATGAGTTGGCTGGCCTACATTTAAATGCGTGAATACACTAGTATAAGACGAGAGATGTACCTACTGTTTATTTGTAGCTATGCAAACAGCTGTTGAGCTGCATTTGTTTTTTTTTTATAATTAAAAGTAGTTAGTGCCATTTATGTATACATTTGCGATACTATAGTCGGTATAATCGGATTGAAATTAGAGATAACAAACTGGCTGCTACTACCGTCACTTTGAAATTAATGTTGCCATATTTCTGACTGCTCCTAATGTTATTTTGAAAAATAATATTGTCAGGTTTCAGATTGATAGTAATGTCACTTTGAACAATAATGTTGCCAGGCTTATTGTACGCGTTTAGTTCAATGTTTTAATAAAATCACTCAAACAGAATCACTCAAAAACAAACGTCAAAGATTTTTAATTATTAATTCGCTGCTATTATAATTCTATTATATGTCTGATATATATCAAATTCTCATTTTTTTTTTAATCAATACTTTTCTTTGCTGCTTTGCTTTTTAAATATATAGGTTTGTAAGTTTTCAAAATCTTGAACGAGATGTATTTGTTTGTGTTTGTATATATTTCGGTTTTGTGTTTTATTTATTATTAATTATAAATGGATGCCCTTAAATGTTGCGGGCCGTGTTACTTAGCAAGCATAATGTATGTGGCCTGAAGAAAAAAGGGTCGAGTATAACTATTCTACGGCTGTCATTAATAGGGACGATTCAATACAAACAAATACGAGTAAGTACTCGATACTTTTGTTCTTTCGATTTTTACTGGCTATCGGAAGAAAAATACTTGTATCGAATCGAAACGCGCACTCGCAAATATTTAATCTTAATCCCACTTCCCTGGAAAAGATCACCTTTTTTCCAAATTATTTTTCCTTTCCGTTATATTCCTTAGGTATTTCATTCCCCGTTTTGCAGCAAACTTACTTAAATACTTCGCGGTTTGCGTTTAACCGCGAAGTACCAGAGGAAAAAAATAAATATGTTATCTATGGTCCATATAAGTCCATAAAAGTCCATAAGTCCATATAAGTCTATAAGTTCATGAAGAGAAATGGCGGGTTCATATTATTATGTAGTTTTGTGTGTTTTTGTATTAAAGTTTTTATATAAATTAATGTTTAGTTTAAGATTATTATATACGTCAAATTAGCAGTAATTATCGAATAGCTAAAATACTTTTAAAAAGAAAAAAACGTTTATTTATTGAAGTACTGTACTGCGCAGTGCGCGTTTCTTAAAAGTTAATTACTTTTTCTTGTTATTAAGGCGCCGCCAAAATCTAAGTACGGAGATATTTTATATCTCACAAAAAAGTATCGATATGAGTAAGTATCGATACATTTAAAGTACTCATATGATCAGTATCGCATGACGAATTGATTACTGCTCATTTGAGTAGGTATCGATACTTTGGTAGTATCGGAACACCCCTAGTTATAAATAATTATTGATGTATATTCCGTCTGCAGTATGCATGCCTTTAGAGGGAAAGTACGTTAATAATTATTCCAATCATAACAATTGCAAAATCAAAATAAGCCTCAGAAATACCACTAAAATGCCAACACACTTCGACTTTCAGTTCAAACTGCAACTATGAATACCATTCTATGTAGCAATACAGCGACCTATTGCGACAAACAAACATGGTTAAGATGTAGATGAACAAAGTTTGGGATCTAAACTTGTTTTGTATATCTTTTGGAGATGGATAATCTGACCTTTTAGAAAAGTACGGTGTCAAAACAAACTTATTGAAGATGTTATACAGGCTGTATTAGAAGAGAGAAAATTCTGCAGCAAGTCATAAGGTGACATAAAGATGAAAAATTGGAATACGACTGATTGGTACCCATAAGACGGAAGAAACGCAGAGAAAAAGGAAAATTGAACTAAGCCCTGAATAACACGACGCAACACAGAAGGTAGAAAGAGGACGAAAAGACTCTACAGGAGGTCTTTGTCGAAGAACTAGCTGCGGAAATTTAATAAATTGGGAAGAAGAATAATCTCAGTACAGAGTACTAAAAAAACCGACCTCAAAAGTACGTGGAATTACATCTATTTGTTAAGTTTTATTGATATATCCTTAAAGTCGCCACTATACAGGACTTGACACTGGAGATAATAAAAATCGATTCTCACTACTCAAATAATATTGAGAGAAAAACGCCTTGAATTGGAGAAATAGCAAAATCAACCATTAAAATAATTGCTCCTTAAGAAAATTTTGGCGCTATTTATAAAAATGAATCTTCATGCGTGAACTGCCACCCTTAGAGGTGGATGATCTCCTTAAAAATAAAATGGGACCAATATGGAAGTACCCCCTTTCCAACAAAAAAAGAATCATGAAAATCGGTTCACAAATACCGGAGTTATCGCGTAACATACATACAAAAAAAACATACAGTCGAATTGAGAATCTCTAATTGTTAAAAAGAGCGTTTAATATAAGTCGTGTGCAAATAATGATAAAGACTATTATTTTCACTTATTTAGCTAAACAAATTATATCATTGGGTTATATCTTCTTTATGTCGTGTTTCGTTTTCAAATATTTAGAGGTGTCGTTAAATTTACAAGAAAAGTGACATACAAAGTATGTTGTCGCTAAATTGATATCTGTTATGATTGGGTTCAATTGCTCAGAAAACTATTATTCTAGTTAATGGTTCTTCACACGGTAGGATTTATTATTCGCCTCCCGATATTCCTGAGAGTTTGCACGATCGATAATCCGTCCTTAAAGATGTCAACTGCAACTTGCTATCACTGACAAGCCGGTCATCTTTAGTATACAGGAATGTCTCAGAGCGTCTTTGAGAGATAAGTTTAAACAGATTAACATTCTTACACTAGAGTCACAGTACATTTACTAAAATGTTATTTATGTTAAGAGGAATAGTAATTTTTTTATTAAAAGTAGTGCAGACATAACATTAACACGAGAAATAAAAATAAAGTAGCTATTATTGACAGTCGTCATCACAAAGTCACAAATTCCTATAAGGGGCAATGTATATAATGTGATATAATGTATAAGCTTCTATAATAAGATTACGGTTGATATTCAAAATTTGCCATTTACGAGGTTTTAAACTATAGTGAAACAAAAACTTTATAGTAAAGGTTATTAGACATCTTCTGCGTACTTGGATGACAAGAATCCGTGGTAGTGACCGAATAGCTCTTGCAGATAGTCTAAGGGTCGTATTCCAGAACTCTACTCAATGCTCAAGTCAGGACTTGAGCCGACTTGAGTATGATTTCAAGCACTGGAAATACGACCCTAATGGCGAGGACTTGAGTATGGTTTTCAGTGCTCACTGCAATACTCAAGTCCTGACTTGAGTATTGAGTAGAGTTCTGGAATACGACCCTTAATCTAAGATGTTTGAAATAAATATTGTAAATGTTAAATGTATTCTAATGTATATATTCAAATGAGCAACCTAGAGCTTCTTGCTCATTCTTCTCAGAGGACTCTGCCTTATGAATGAGGAGTGTAATTTGCTGACCTATGAAATAAAGCTGAATTTTGAATTTGATTTTTTTTTGATGTGGAAAAAATTTAAAATGTTTTCTATACTTAAACTCTTTGTTACTTATAAGTATGTTCACTGGCAGACATATAGTCGCATTTTTTGTTACGCTCTATACAAACAGATGTTTTAGAAGTATCAATATCGTTTATGCTAATTGAGAGATTGTATCTATAACGGAGTATATAATACTATTACATACCCTTGAATGTGATGTTGAATTTTTAAATAAATTACCGTATATATACTAATAAACATACTGTATAGAGATTGCATATCGACTGTGAACTGGCAACCGGTACTATCTCAATTTTCTAAAGATTTCACTTTTGAATACTATTTTATACTATTTCATACTCCGCAACGTTGCAAAAAAATCCATTGTTATCAATAACATGTGTAAAAAACTACGTATTTTTATTTAATAAACCAGATGCTATATAAATGACGCAAATAAGTTTTTTCTTCATCCCGTAAGTTGTCAAAATTGTGATATACCATAAAGGTTGATAAAAAAAAACGCCTGAAATAAAGATTGTCCAATGAATTGATTGTTTTATATGAGAAGATTTTTTCTTTCCCGATTTGGAAGCGGCTACCTTAGGGAATGTTGTTTAGTACTACGGGTAGAGTTAACCCTACCTAATCGCACTATAACTTGAAGTTTGACTCTCAGATGTCAGGTAGGATTTTCTAGTCTCCACTTGCATTATAGAACATCTATAAAACTTCTAAGCTGTCGCTTTAACATATGCAAGATATACCAACCTCCTCCAAACGTAGAGGTTCGTCCAACCCGGCGGCAATCCGCTCTCGCTTTTCTCTTTCTTTCCGTTCTTTCTTTTCCCGCTTGCGTCTTTCCTTCTCGCCATCCCGTTCCTCGCTTACGGTGTCACCCCCTGCCAGGGCCGTCGACTTCTTTATGAAGTTGAACATGACTGGCGGCTGAAACCAACAATATTATAATTATAACAGGTAAATCCTAGTATAGACACCAGACTTTCACAGACGAAACTAAATTCAGGAACATGTGAGGACCATAGGTACATATACATAAATAAGTTTATTTTGTGAAAGTAAATAAATACATTTTCAAAGACATTTTCATAATGTAGATATAATTAACTATTTTTGTGTTATAGTTAAGAGGTTTAGTTGTGTTTATTACTATTATTTTATTTAGTTTTGATTTATAGTTATGACGTACTAGTTACAGAGAAGCGAGACCTCCTGTAGGGCTGGTATGGCAGGGCCCGACTAGAGCGAGAGCGGCATAAAGCGCGATATCTCTGTGCAATAATAGCAGTATATCACGCTTTATGTCGATCTCACGTAAGTCGAGCTTTGTCGTGCTAGCTACAAATATTTTCAAGGTCATTAAGTCATTTATTTGTTTATGATACACAGGTTATAAAGTTGTTACAAGAATGAATTTTGAATCACTATGGGTCTCAACCTTTGTATGTAATTTTGTTTTTATTTGAAATGACATAAGTTACTTTTATTTACTTTTTATTAACATTGTCCGAACATAGTCTTGTGTAGTTGAATTCTCGGAAAAACTGGTCAGAAAACGTGAAGAAACATTAAAAGATTTTAATATTATAATACTTATTTACCTGGCGCACGGTACAGAGTTGTATCATTACTAGGGGTGGGACGAATATTCATTTTAAGTCCATTCAGCAGGTATACCGAACATTCGCATTCAGCCGTAAATTCGATAAAAATACCGAATTGTCTACTGAACATGATTTTACTTAAAAAAATAACATTACTTTTTTTTACCTAATTTATTAGGCTATTAACATAGCTATTATTTTATTACACATGTTTTTTTAAACGGGTACTTCTTTGCATGTCTATTAAGTTGTAGTGAGTAATTAAAAGAATAAAAATGATAGGTATGATAAAAAACGCGTCAGATCGTACGATCAACCCATTTATACGTCCCACTGCTGGGCACGGGTTTCCTCACAGTCGAGGGTTTAGGCCATAGTCCGCCACGCTGGCCCAATGCGGGTTGGCGACTTCACACGTTTTCAGAAAGTTGTCAACTTTCTTCGACGTGCAGGTTTCTTCACACTGTTGTCCTTCATCGAATTCGGCGCATCACTACTCTTTATTAGATAATGTCATCCTTTATATTAGTTATATCAACTCATAAGAGAGAATCGTAATCTGCACTATCATTATAAAAACATTATAAGTATTACGATCGCTTTTCGCTGTCACGGCTTATTTCTATAAATCAATGCCACTTGTTTATCAGTGTAAGTGTAGATAATACAAACAAGATAAAAACATCCACTATTAAAAGCATAAAAGCAATTCATTCTGAAACTCTCACTGTTTCGATACGTGGAAAACACTGCGATGCGATGTGGAACCGAAATGATGAAATGTCTGCGCACACGCATAAGACATAAACATGTCAAGTGCAAGCTGGTATTGTTTGAAATTTTAGTTAATTGCACTGTTCATACATAAATATCTTTAAATGTATACTTCTTTATATGTATAATAAATCACCATTCACCAAAACGGCTAGCATTACGGAGTGTAATGTCTATGACATCGATACGGTAAGAAGGGAATGCCACTTTCAGAAAATACACAACGTTACATTTTCTTATGAGGATTCCTATTTTATTATTTATTATATATTGTAATTGGAAATATACGACAGATTCGTCTAAAAAACACATCGAATATACAGGGGGTCCGGTAAAGAATAGATAAGCCTGAAATACCTTATAGTAGAGCTTATGAACGTACAAACAAAATATAAAGAAAAATATATCCTATGTAGTACCTAAGATATTTTTTTCTTTAAATTTAATTATTTTCACCTTATTTCACGTTTTTGTACACCACGACTAAAAGTTAATCAATTCCTTCGGTTTTTTGGTGTCATAATATTCTACATTAACTGTGCTAATAGCTAGGCAGTAAACAGTATGACTAACTATGAAACTTAAATTTAAAAATAAGTTTTATTTTATTTTTCAGCAAATTTTTTTTTCACAAAGTTTAAGCATCTTTGATATAAAAACAAAATTATGATAACCTTAGTGGCCAACTATTCTAAAATAATGCGTGTTTAAAGTAGATTTCAAAATGGTATAATTCATTATTGTATCTAATATAAATAGAAAATCATTGCTATTAATGTGCAAAAGGAGTAAATTTGACTAAAAACTAAGTTTTCAAAATTGGACCATTTTTTGTCCTGAATTAAGCTTGACCAATAGGTTTAATAAAAAAAAAACAATATTAGACATAAATACAACTTTATTTACAGTTTGTTTACAGCATATGTTCAAACTGTTTGCCACCGACTCTGATGCAGGCTCTACATCTTCGAATAAAAGCCCTTTTGAGTAGCCGCATATATCGTCGTTCACTTATTGTTGCAGCGGCTGTACTGACACGGCTACGTAAGTCTTCCAAGGACCTGATCGGCTTACTATACGGCCGTCTGGAGCCAATTTTATGGCCTCCGCGTTCACCGGACCTAAACCCACCGGATCCATTTGCCTGATGAGTTGCCAGTGATGGATGGCCCTTCTTTCGTCTCCATTTCTGGTTATATACTTGATGAAAAAACATAACAATAAAACTTGAATGACTCGTTTTAAGAAACAAAACCGCAAAAGGGTGTGGACAGTAAAATTCAAATGAACTTCTGATTTAAGAGCATGAAATGCCTAAACACAACACAATAGTGAAAAGTGGTAGTAGAAAATGCTATAAAACTTGTGGTCTAAAGTATAACAACAGTAATGAAGAAGGTAATGGAAGCAGTCATTTCGTTTTACGTCTTATTGCAAAAGTACTAGGTATTGAGTTTTTTCTAACAAAGATCATTCTCAGGCATTGTAATATTAGGTTTGCTTTTGGGACTAGGACATTTCTATAAATCTCTAAAAGTAAACAAAGACTAAAACAAGCTCAAACAGTGAGACCATAAACACGCAATTTGCATAAAGGCTTGTTCAAAGCAACTGAGCTCTACTTTCCGAACGAAACACGACCATCAGGGTCACACTTGAACTGTCACAATGAGACCGTTACTCGTCGGAACTGATCGCAATGGCGATCACATCTAAACTATATCTTCGTACGGTGTAAACAATATTTAGAGTTAATGATAATATTTGCTCTAAAACTCTTTCAAGTACCCTATTTTATACAGAAGAAACATAACGAGTACACGTGCAAGTTTTAATGTTTTTTGTCGCGCTACTAAAACTTTATAAAAAAGCGCCTGCCTTTTGTATGCTCAAAATAGACGGTTTGCTTCCAAATGATTTGTAAGATTATTTTATACATACTACAGTATTTATCAAAATGAAAAAAAAAGTTAAATGAATTTATGTTATACTGCATGATGGCAAAGTTACAAAATTTGGGTTCAATTTACATTGCGTCGAAACGGAATGGAAGCGAATTTTTGTAACGATATTGTACATAGCATAATAAACGTTGTACTTTTTTCTTTTTTATAACATCAAGTGACGGGACGAACAAGTCGTGCGCCTGATGGTAAGCTACACGCCTGTCCATAACAGTTACAGTGCCATTTTTCGCGCGCTTAAGTACTTCAATCGGATGCTTATCTTTGACTCCTCTTTGAACCTCTTTGCATGCTCGGAAGCCCATTTTACGGTTTCCGCGGAACGATATCTCGAGTCATTGACCATGGACAGTAGCATCACATAAGTATTGTGCATCATTGAATAAAACAAAGGAAAATAATAAAATAAAAATAAAAGTAGATCCATTAAATCTATTAGGTCCTAATAATGTTTTAAATTCATTGTGAAGTTTATTTAAAATAAAATTTCAAAAAATAAAATGGCGATTTGGGATAAGTCAAAATGTATAAAGAAATAAATAAAAGTCCGATATAATACTATGTTAATGTTTTAAAATTTGATTGTTAATAATGTACTTGCGATATGTCCAATTCCATGATTTGTTATTTTTATCTAATTTTTTATTCAGTTTATTTTATGCAATATATAAAATTCAATGATTTGTAAATTTTCATTCAACTTATTTTGTATCAATTCTTTATTAAATATGATTATATTATTATTTCAATATATGATATTAGCTTAAGAATTACTATTGTGTTTGGATATTAATCTGTAAGCAATATGTAATATAATAAATAAATAAATAAAATAAAATTTTCTCGCGTGGCATATTGGAGAAGAAATTATCGACTTTATTTTTTGTAACGAAGTAGTTAATATTTTATTAGCTTATTACAAATCGGTCGAATCAGTACATTTGATATTACGTGAACTAAATGTGGACCATATCCATAC